TTTCTTAGGTTGATGAGTGCTGTTAAAGTAAACGAGCTGCTGAGCCAGGCTCGAGCTCGACTCGAAAAGGCTTGTTAAGGCTTAGAAAGAGAATATTTACATAACTTTCTATAGTTCGGCTAGTCAATAGTGATAAATGAGCCAAGTTCGTGGCTCGTTTATTTAACTAGCTCGGCTACACGCCTAGGTGAATCCCTTGTTGTCCCCTTGCTGCTGCTTTGGGTTATTTTAGTAAGTTTGATGGTAGTTGTGCATAGTAATAATGGATTAAAGTACTATCAAAGGCCAACAAATGGAATGATTTAGTTCACTTCTTAGGTTATTGAGATAAAAATATTTCTTTGGTGAAATATATGGTGGACTAGATATATAGGGTTGTAAATGAATTAAATTGAAGTCTATATTCAAATATTTGATAATAATTTGTGAAAAAATATTTGGTTATTTGTATCTGTATTCGGTTTATTAAAGAATTTAATTTGTAATTTGTATGTGGTTTGTTGAAGATAATTGAACCTATTCAATTTGTTTTAAATTTCATTTCAAAATTTATTATGAACACAATAATATGTTTATTCATGAATATATTTTTGTATTTGATAAATTACTATATGTGTATATTATGTGAATAAAATTATATATTCTATCTAATATATTAGAATTTATATAATTATTATTAATGAAAATAAATATTGGATAATTAACTATGAATTCATAATATTACAACACGTACGGGTATTCACTATCTACTACTTCGATTTATCCAAAAGTGAAATTCATTATGTTGAGTAAATAGAATAAGTAATTGAGTACTAATATCATTTATATGATAATATGATAAATTTTAGATGTATATAAAAATATAGACTTAGATATATAAAAATTACTCAGATCATGGGCCTCGTCGTGCGTGCACAACGATTAGCTAGTATAAATAGACCAAGTTGCGAGTTCCCTATAATTGAATAAATAAGTCAATTATTTGATGTTTGGCAAAAAAATAAAATAAAAATAAAAAGTCAATTATATTTTTCAAAATTTTCAACAAAATAATATAAAACTGCTCCCATGTTTACTTATATAAATAGCCCAAAATCATTTTTTTTTTGTTCCGGCGGCGATCTCCTCTCTCCGTAGCAAATTTGGTTCGTACTAAGCTTCCCATGGCGGATCACGGCAAGGCCAAATCGGACATCTCCTTCGCCGGAACATTTGCCAGTAGTGCTTTTTCTGCTTGCTTCGCCGAGGTTGTACACTCGCTTGTTTTTCAGTTTTGGTTCTCCTCTTTCTAGTTTTATTTTTCCATGTATTTTTTTTTTCTTCGTGCATTGATAGTTTCAGTGTAGCTAGAGTTTTTGTGTTTATGTGTTTTTTCTATTTCGTGCATTAATTTTAAGCTGTTGCTCGTCGGAGTTTTGATAATTGTAATTTTGTCCTGTTATCTGTTGAATTCCATCGACTTTGTGCATTGTGCATTTTTTTTGGAGGTTGATTTGGTTGGGAAAGTTGATTTGCTTTGTCTCGTTTGTTCTATTCATCGAGATTTTGATTGGGTTGTGTAGTTATTGAGTTTCCAATTACAAGAAGCTGTTCTTGATGTTTACTATATTGTTGGTTTCTGAAATGTTAATGAACAATATTTGGTGTTTGTTTGAAATTTTTTATGCTCTTTTGATATTTCATGCTGCAGGCTATGTATAGAAATTCTATTCATATCCAGCTTTTGTCGGTTTTATAGTTACTTCATGATGAAGTAGTGATGTTTAAGATTTGGCATGTCGTGTCGTTCGAATTGTTGTATTTCTATCCAAGGTTGATTTAGTTTGAAAAGTTGATTGGTTTGACTTCTTTGATCTACTGTTGCAATGGGTTATAGTCGAATAAACCTTTGAATAGTAATTATCATTATTATACTCAGCGTATGAAATCATTAAGGCGTGATTGATTTTTATCCTATATAACATCAATGGTTTTTGTAAGTTTGAGTTTCCCAACACAAGCTACCACGAAATTTCTATTGAATATGTTTGGCAATAAGGAAAAAGATTGGATGTGAAGTTTTCTTAAAGTTGAAGAAAAAGTTGGATTCATTTAATTTGTTAAATTTCGGTGTGGAATTGAACGCTCAAAGACATAGTGCACGTGCTTGTTTAGAAATTTATTTTAAATACTAATTCTGGTCATTAACGAGAACTAGCTTGTCTTAATTTTCCAGTTTAAACTATCCATTTTTGGCGACATGCTAATATTTATTATATCTCCATGTAGATCTGTACTATTCCATTAGATACTGCCAAAGTTCGGCTGCAATTGCAGAAAAAAGCTGTTGCTGGAGATGGTTTGGGTTTGCCGAAATATAGGGGATTGCTAGGAACAGTTGGAACTATAGCCAGGGAAGAAGGCTTATCAGCGTTGTGGAAGGGTATTGTGCCTGGATTACACCGTCAATGTTTGTATGGCGGTTTGAGGATCGGATTATATGAACCCGTGCGTTTTCTCTTTGAGATTTACGTATATTTCTTTGCGGGGTTTTTTTTTTCTTTTTTTACTTTTATGGTGTCTTGATCTTACTGTTTGTGTAACTTGTAACTCGACAGGTTAAAACCTTGTACGTGGGAAAAGATCATGTTGGAGATGTACCGCTGTCGAAGAAAATACTTGCTGCCCTTACGACTGGTGAGAGCCTTTGATATGGAATTTATAATTGTGTTCTTTCTTCTTTTTTTTTTTTTCCATTTCGTGATTTAAGAAGTTAACAATTGAAAATTGCATTATAATATTAGGTGGTGTGGCGATTGCTGTTGCCAACCCTACCGATCTTGTCAAAGTAAGACTTCAAGCGGAGGGGAAACTGCCACCTGGCGTGCCCAGGCGTTATTCCGGGGCACTAAGTGCTTACTCTACGATTGTGAGACAGGTCAATCTCGAAACCCGGTTTTTTTCTTATGGATCTTATTACTTGAAGTTGAGTATGATTTGATCCATCTTGGTTTTTAATTTCCATCGGGAAATGTAGGAAGGAGTTACAGCTTTGTGGACTGGACTAGGACCTAATATCGCACGCAATGCAATTATAAATGCTGCTGAACTAGCCAGTTATGATCAAGTGAAGCAGGTATATTAGCACCTCATGTGCTTTCTGGTTGCTTTTAGTCTTTTTTGTGATCCACTGAACCTCTTTGTTTTCTTATTGTGCATCCATTTTCCTTTTCTTCTTTCTTTTTTTCTTTTAGACGATCCTGAAAATCCCGGGTTTTTCAGACAATGTTTTCACCCATCTCTTAGCTGGTTTAGGAGCTGGTTTCTTTGCCGTCTGCATAGGCTCTCCGGTCGATGTGGTAAGTAACTTATCAAACACCAATCTCGGAATGCACATTTTATTTGTAATTTTTCCATGGAATGTAATAGAAAAAACGGGGAGCACAAAGGAGAGTCACAGATGGGGGTCATGAATTTTGTCTCTATTTTTTTTGCATGCAACTTTGGGTAAGATCTGCTAATTAACTCGGTTTTGTTCTTTTCTGGCAGGTCAAATCGAGGATGATGGGGGATTCTGCATACAAAAGCACACTTGATTGTTTTGTCAAGACTTTGAAAAATGATGTAAGTTTAAGGATGAGGTTGTTTACTTTTCTTCTTTTTTTCTTATATTGCTGGCTCAGCTAATGACTTTGGCAGATTAAGCATTCGAAAATTTCCATTTAAAATTTTGTAGCAGTTTATATAATATGTGCTGTTTGCAGGGACCTTTGGCATTCTACAAAGGGTTTATCCCCAACTTTGGGCGATTAGGTTCTTGGAACGTGATCATGTTTTTGACTTTGGAGCAGGTATTGATTGATCTTTTAAGACTATTTCGGTACGAGTGATCTATTAAAACCATTTTCCTCGGTTACGAGTTTTTTCTCGTCCATTTTCTGCGGAATTCATTTTGACGAGATAGTTTATGCTTTGTTCAATTGCAGGCTAAAAAATTTGTCAGAAATTTAGAGTCTTCTTAGAGCTAAAGAAGAGGTTTGCAGGCCTATAGCCTAGGTCTTATAAGGAGGATGCAAAGTCCCATTCTCTCTCTTTTTTTTTTTTTTGGCAATAAATAGAAACACTTCTATGTGAAAACTGGTATTTTGTTTTTTCTTTTTTTCTCAATTGTTGACAATAAATAGAAACAGATCATTATTATCTTTTTTCTATGTGAAACCACAAACAGTTAACTACACAATGCATTATCTTTTTTCATGTAAAACCTATTATTATCCTTTTTGAAACCTAAACCTACTAATAAATAATATAAATCTATATTCCTACTAAATTTTTCTAATTTTGAAAATTAATTTACTCCATCGATAAATAATTAGTGCTAAAAACATGTCTATTTAAAATATTAAAAGTACTAAAATATTATACATGTAACAATATCTAATATGTTGTATATTTGTTTTTAAAAATGTTTAAAATTACCTAAATTTTTCTAAAATATTTTTGAAAAATATGTCTAAAAACACCTCAACAAAATTGTTCTATGATAATATACCAAAATATTTTATGTACATCATGAAATATAACTTTCATCAAAGTTATTTCAAGCACAATGATTTTGTAAAACTATGTAATTCATATTCAAATTTAGATTATGTGATTTTGCAAGACTATGTAATTCATATTCAAATTTAGGTTATGTGATTTTGCAAGACTATAATGTAATTCATATTCAAATTTAGATCATCAAATAAAAATATTTCAAACACACATTACCCTTGTTTGTGATTGTGAGTTTGTAATACTAGGATGTGATTCATATTCAAATTTAGATCATCAAATATAAATATCTCAAGAACACTTGTGGTGTGATTTTGTAAGATTTCATATTTAGATCATCTAATAGAAATGTTTACATATAAAAATTTTAAATTTTGCATAGTATAAAACAATAAAGTTTTTAATTTTATTTAAAGTAATAAGTATTTTTTATATATATAATTTATTTGTCAACAAAAAAAATAAAATTTTTAATTTTATTTAAAGTAATAAGTATTTTTATATATATAATTTATTTGTCAACAAAAAGAACTATAAGGTACCCTTCTTTCCTTTTTTTCATGAAGAACATGAGGGAGAAATAAGGTACCCTTCTTTCCTTTTTTTCATGAAGAACATGAGGGAGAAATAAAGCACTCGTAGATTCATTTTTATCAGTCTATATAACAATAAATAATACAAATCTATATTACTACTACATTTTTGTAATTCTGAAAATTATTTTAGTCTACTATAAATAATTATGGTAAATTGATGCACTAAACAAGATAGTATTTATAATTAATGATATGGGTTAATGTATAACACATCTTACAGTAAAATATATATATGTAAAAATTTCTATTTAAAATATTACATATGTAAAAATATCTAAAATGTTGTATATTTATTTTTAAAATGTATGAAATTATCTAAAAAAATTTATAATATTCTTGAAAATTATGTCTAAAAACACCTAAACTAAATTGTTCTATGATAATTTACCAAAATATTTTATATACATCATGAAATACAACTTTCATCAAAGTTGTTTTGTAATGTGATTTTGTTAACATGATTTTGTAAGTCTAAAACATAATTAATATTCAAATTTAGATCAAATACACATAAAAATGTTTGGATAAAAGATACGTTCGTCCACAACTCCAATTTTGATCTGTTTTCACTCGATTCAGCAAATGAAACTTCCATTCTCTTTATCCAGTTTTCCCAATTACACGCACACACCCATAAACACAATTCAAAAATTACATGAACATATCATACTAAAAAATGAAAAAAGAAAATGGTAACGCCATTATGATCATAGCTCTCAGGTATGTAATAATAAAAGTCCGTACAATTTCTTTCACCACAAAAATAACAATAAAAAAAACATTAATAATACTAACAATAATAAAATGTGCACATACACACACACCTCATCCCCTTTTCTCCTCCTCACCCTTCTCCCCTTCGTCCCCTGGCCGGGCCCCGCCACTCGGCCCGCTCTCCGCCAGGCTGGCAGCAATCGCCGCTTTCAAATCCTCGTCATCGTCAGAAACCGCCGCCGCCATGCCGCCAGCTGCAGCACCGCCAGATTTATTCATCCTCTCGGCATCCTCCGGCAGCAGCCACTGGCCATAGCCGCCAGTCGTCTCGTTAGACGCAATAGGGCAGTCACTCGGAAAATCTCCCCTGACGAGAAAAATACTCCACCCAGAGCTCTTGAGAGAGTCGAGATAAGCCGAGAGGTAGAATCGAGAGAGGTGCTCGGGAGCCGGGTAAAGGCTGTCGAAATTGTACCACTCGCCGTTGACCTTGCGGATGCAGAACCAATGGTCGTGCAGGTGGCATATGAAGGCGTTTTCCTTTTCCGGGTCTATTTGGGCCGGGCTGGCTAACGGGCTGTCCAGAGGGATCACCTGTAAGTTCCATACTTCTAGAGCTTTCTGTAGAACCTGCCACCAAAGCATATATTTTATATATACATATATACGAACGCTTATCGTAATTAATAAGTTCTGCAAGTGCTTGAAATTCGAGACTTTGTTTCTATTTCTGGACTGAAATGAGAACAAATATGTCACTTCGTCAGATTCAGCTATGGCATTAAACCATTAGGACTAAAAATGCATATTTGCTGTCAGATTCCTTCATTTGTGTGCTGTGCATACAACTTTCAAGAATGCCAACTAATTCGGGATGAAGGGAGTGTAGGTTAGTAAGCAAATCTGTTTATAGATGTTCATGTGAATATGGTTTTTGTGAATATTTCATCCAAAGAATAAATGGCCTCATGAAATACGCATGTTCCGTTAACTCAAACGGGTGATAGTCAATCAAAAGAAGAATTATCAAGACATAAATGGGATGTCAATCTCTTATACACAACTGCAAAGCAGTCGACTCACAAGAACAAATGAAATTAATAACAATAAGAAGCTATGGAGAA